TAAAATGAAATAGTATTTATAAAGTGTTTGTAACAGGAAAATATTGATAAACATGGTTGCTCTATACCGCTCTTACCTGCGGTAACACATATCATAATACGAAAGAAACAAATGTGATATTTCATCTATTTCCATACAGAAACATTCAGCAGACAAAAGAACGGCTGCGTAAGTGTTGCAGAACAAGCAAACTTTTTTTAAAAATATATATCAATGTTCAGATTTATTACTCAGATGTCTTTACAAAAACAAAAACAAAACAAAAAAAATTGTCTTTTCATTATTAACGTTTTGATGTTTACTTTATTTATAAATATCTCATTCTTGACACTCACGACACATAAAATTTGATTGAACAGAAAAATTATAAAATATTTAAAAATATCATATCTTTAAAATTTCCGATAAACAGTCTCATGCACTGGACATAAAAATGCTGTTTTCCATACAGTGTTGCCACTGCTTGCTTTGTAATTGTTGAGTTTGTTAAAGTTTTACAAAATATAAAATAGATAATAAAACAAATTAAAAATTCGAGCTTCCAGGTAGTCATGTTCGGGTGGAGGATTGTGTTATTCAAAATTTGATGGCTCTCTATACCGTTGTTTTTTCGCATTCCAAGAAAATGCATTCATGCAGATTCTCCATTATTTAAATTTCTTTAAATATAATGCGGGGTGATAATATTTGGTGGCAACAATTTGAAAAGTATATGCCGTTTACAGTGATTCAATGATAAATGCCATTTCGAGACAATATCCCATTCGTGACTAAAAACTAATCAAGGAAATGGAAAATGAAAATGTATCTTTAAAACATATACCGTCTTTTTCCAAAAATAAGACACTGTCTTACTTTCTTTTTTGGTCCAAAATACGCGCTAGGGCTTATTTTCGGGGAAAATATATAAATATACTTTTATTTCAAAATTAAAAGTATATTTATATATTTTTATTTAATATTTATTTTACACAGAATACAGAAATTTAAATTTATTCAATTACAGTCATGTCATCTTCTGGAACATCGTCATAAATAAAATTCTGAATTATATTCTGATTTTCTTCTAAATCCATTTCCTGTTGAATCATTGGTCCGAATCTCTCATGTCTTGCGATATAGCTATCGTTAAATGAAAATATTGTCTAAGTAGCCTGTTCGTAGTGCAATGGAAACATCACTATCAGTTATTTTGTCCCATGAATTTTTTACCCAATTCACAACTTCTTGTAAGCCTGGTTTTACAAAATTACCTCAATGATTTCTCACCATTCTGTTTTCAATATATTCATTGATTTCCATCCACAAATGATCCTTGAATGGCTTTTTTATTGCAATGTCAAGTGTCTGGAGGTAACCAGTCATTCCTGCCGGAATCATTATTTGATCAATCTTCCTCTCAGCAAGAAAGTTTATCATGTCTTTAGCACGGTGAGTACTGGCTGAATCCCAAATTAGTAAACCTCTATTCTGACCCCTCAACAGTGGTGGCAGCATAAAATCAACCCACTCTCTTTAACGAATTTTTTTTGTCACATTATTTTAACTAGGGATTATTTTTGGGGAATGTCTTATTTTACAAAAAGTTCCGAAAATCACGATAGGGCTTATTTTCGGAGGATGTCTTATTTTCAGAAAAAGATGGTATGCCGAAACACAAATTAGTGCGACAATGAAACAAAAGCAAATTAAATTGTCTACAGATGGCATTTCAGAGAGTACTGTAATCAGATCATTATCTGTAAAATCATATGTAGATATGAGCCACTTTCCCTTAAAAAGCCTTCAAGAAGGTTCAAGAAAATTTTTGAAAATGTATGGGAAATATTAAAAATCCTATTTCTAAACTTGAAAAACATTTTCACTCTGTCAATAACAACACGTTTTTTTTTAAAATATTTTATTTTGCTGCTTACAAACGTTTATAAGAGTTCGACACTTCAATTGGAAAGCATCCGTTGCGCCGGCAAGAAAAGCTAACCAGAAAATAGGTAAATGGAAATAAATTATGTAAATTAATTCATTTTATTGCATCAAAAATAATATTTTAAATCATTATTTGGTTTATTATTCACATAATTTTTATATGATTTATTTTATGCACTTTTTAGCTATTTATAAGACTGCAAAATAAATCACGAAATTCTGCATAAAGATAAACTAGCGTTACAGTACACACTTTTAAAATATAAGAAAGTATATATAAGAAAGTACAGTACAAAGTCTGAAATCCGGACTGGCCGGGACTTTGGTGATTTGGGATTTGGGATTTTTCCGGATAATAGATCATCAATTGAAATCTGGTAAGATGACATGCAGAAATTATACAATTAAAAATATGAAATCGTAATTTATGAAATAAAGAACAATTATGATCTAAAAGGTATCAAAATTTACCAAAAAAAAAGCTTAATATTTATTTGTTTACTTTATATAACATTTCTTTCAATGTACTTTGTTTAAGATGCTTTCACAAAAAATTCAAAAGTTCCTTTTTCTTTTTTCTTGTGTCATATACAGTGGACTTTTCAATGCCATGCTCCTCGCATAATTTTGAGACGGATATGCCTTTATCCATTTTTTGCAGCAATTGCATGTTTTTGTTTAATGGACATGCAATTGCTGCATGTCCATTAAACAAAAACATGGTTTCGCTTTGTAGAGCCTTTGCCAATTCCAGAATTGGAAACTCTTTTCGACATAATCGAAAGTTCAAGCTTAATTTTTATAAAATTGCCGTAATAATAACAGTCTGCAAAAAAAATAATAAGTTGGATCAAATTAGAAGATCAGGAAGCAGCGCAGTCTGCTACATTAATTGAAATGCCTTAGAATCAGTAAAGATAATGTTAGCTTAGCATAATAGCATCCATTATACATTATTGGCTGTGCATCACAAGATTGGCGACGAAAAAGTTGTTTCGCTAAATTTTGTCTTACTCCTATTGTGTACTGAATTAAGTCTGAATTGTATTAGTTCAGTTATTTACTATACCTACATTTATTTCCTGCACATGCTTCAAACTAATCCGAGTCCTGAATAAATAAACTCCCACATATACTTAAGGCTTTTTCTAGGGCCGGCACTCGATACCGCCTGGTGCAGTCTCTACGGGTCCTAAATTCTGCTACAAAGAGCTTTTTTAAGTTCTAAATTTTTACCATGCCTAAACTTTGGATACCAGTGCTTTCTCTAAATCATAAAAACTTCCCATCCCTTAATTTTGCCACTCGGTGCTTCCCCAAATTCCAAAAATTTAGTCTTCCCTAAATTCTGCCGTCCGGTGCCGACATATTCTTCCGCCGCTTATGGGTTTATGGTGAATAACATATCAGTTATTCTTAATTAAAATAGCACTAAATGCAATCTTTTAGCCTATGAGTTTTATTAACAAAATTTATTTTTAGCATATGAAAAGAAATTTTTGTTGAATTTTTCCTCGACAACATTTCTTAGTGCATTTAAAAATCTATAATCATCGTCAAGCGTAATGTTAGCATAAAAGGTTGCCATAGTCTGTTATTCAATTACTAATATGAAAAAAAGTTTAGACATCACAGCATGAGTTATTACTGAAGCTGTCATGTTTTGATAAACATGTGGTGATGAAAGCAAAAATATAATAAAAATTACTCTCTAGGTCGGCGTCAGGGATATAAAATAGGTGAATGTTTCAGTTTGAGATGTATGCCAAGTAGATACTCAGCTACAGAGTCAAATTATTAATCTCACAAATTTATGCTTACATGATTGTTTTTCCATAACAAGGTATTTGATTTAGTGCCTAAGTTAAATTAAGAATCAAAATTTTTAAGTGAAAATCTCCACATGTTTTTATTATGGAAGGAAAAATCAAATGCACATGCATAAAGCATTAATAAAAAAAATGTCTGTGGCTTTGAGGCAAGGATTTTAGATCATTTCAGATAATGGATGGCCGGGTTTTAGACTTTGTACTGTATATAAATATCAATTTCATTTTTTAAATTATTTTATAAGTAATAGTCACTGCCAAGGCTTAGAAAAATCTAACTCATTTCTAGTGCTTGTTAAAACGCAAAATTAAATGAAGCGAAATTTGTTTTGATTTAACATATTATGAAATTTATAATTAGAGTTAATTAACTTTTAATCAGATGGGTTTGCAAGGTCTTTCTAGCACGTATTCTGAAAATACGTTTTCATAATTTTATTCACTATTTCTATAACCAACTTGTGACATTATTTGAGATATTTTAACTCAAAAATAATTCTTGGTAAATATAGAAATTTATCAATGTTTTTTGTTGATGGATTACTATTTACATACATTTAAAAAAATATTGTGGGAAAAGTTAACCATATTTAATGTATATTCAGCTTTAAATATTAGTTTAAGCTTATGTTTTATGCATGCTATAACTTAATTAAATGTGCCATAGTTACATTACTAGGTCAGATAAAAATGCATATATAGTGTAATTTCATAAGATAAAAACCTCTTGCTCATATTATTTACCAAACAATTCTTCAAAAACTTTTTGATTTTCAAGCAAATACTCATGCAACCAAAGTCTGAATAAGACACTCTCAAAACAGCAAGCGAACCCAACTACGTCATCAGTCCTTTCTTCCAGTTTCAGCTGCAAGAAGCTGAAGAACCAGTCCTTTAGCCCTGTCTCGAATAGCAGTTCCCCCGTGCTACTTATTTTATTATTTTTAGAAGACTACACAGAATTTTAAAATAAATAAAAGTCATTGTATTCTAGTTTTCGGATTTCAGCTTTACTCAAATTAAAAGCTTTTTATGTTAGTGATCTCGAAAAGAATTTTACAATCTTTTTCTTCCATTTCAATTTGTTGTCAAACACAGTTTCATATTTCCATATGTTTCATTCTATTTCGCTGATTCCTTCACATCATTGCAATTTTCATAAACATGAGTGTAAAATATATTATATTACACATGATTCATTAAATATTACAGATGATTTAACATTTACTGAAAATAGTAGTTTACCTAATTTATCAGCATTATTTAGTGCCCATGCATATGCCAAAAGAACTTCTTCCAAAGCTCTGGGAAATGGAGCTTGAGGTGAAAGGGTATAATCAACAGATAAAATGGGAACATTCAAATCATGTGCCCAGTTTCTCAGATATATCTAAAAGAAAAATAATATAAATAAAAATGTAGATTTGTTGTCTTATTGGATAGAATCTGAAGACATTCAGTAACTTTTCAGGTTCAGTTAAACTACATTAATGGTATCAAACAACTTGCATGATTTACCATGTCTTTGAACATAAAGCTATTAAAAATACCTTTTCATCTTTTTAGAAGTAAATTGTTTATATAATAATCATATGAACATCTTAAAAGTCTTTTATTATCATAATGCATTCATTACATTTTTTATCAATAATAATGCAAATAAAAATGAGCTGGTAGATTTTTTATCATATAAGTATGAATTCCTAATGTCGGCTTTTATAAAAGTTGATTCAAAAGAATTTATTACAAAAATATTTTTTTTTCTTTTCTCTTTCTCTCTTTTCTTTCTTCTTTAGAAGTAAATAGCTTTTGATACAATGCAGCTTGGAAACTAGCTTAGAACCTCCTATAGTCTGATCTCCCTGACTTTTACCATTTGAAGCACTTCTGCTCTTAGATTTCATACAACTTATACGAAAATCTCATTGAGAAATTTTTATACATTTATATTAAAACTGGACTGGGTTATTGATATTTTGATTGGTGTGGAATTTTTTTAAACCCCCAACCCCAAAACAAGTATTACAAATCACAAGTAAAAAATCTGTTTCCAAAGTTCAGCTTTACCTATGACTGCACTGGTGGAAAAGAAAAAGACTTTGCGCTGTGCTTACATAAATATTTTATTATTAGAAGTAATGCTGAAAAGTTTTTATATATATATGTATAATATGATATAGAGGGTTCCCTGGAATTTTAAAGGAGATGGATTCTATTTCATATATAAAACCTTTTAAAAGAATCTGTCGTCTTTTAAGTTTAAACATATATAAATGTAGTTCAGCAGGACATTCAAGGGCCCCCTAAGCCTTTGGGCCACAATGGGACAGCATTCTTTCCATACCCTTATTTACACCACTACTTCTAGATCAGATTTACAAGTCTTATTGAGCTTTACAATTTCTTTGAGACAAAATTATTAAATAAGAAACTTGAACATCTTAAATGCATGCTTTTCACAACTTCAATAAACTTTGAGATAATTTGTAGCAACAAATTAATGGTATTTCAATGTAAACTACTTTTCCACATCAACTGGTAACCTCTTCCCCTTTATTAAAGAATTTAAATTCACAGCAATTTTTAACACTCTTGATCTATTTAAATTTACCTTAAGATATGTTGACAGCATTACTGCCAATAATAATAACAATGAAATTAAAAAACAACTAATTCATCCTAAACAAAATCAGAATAGATTTTTCAGATTTTTATGCTTTCATTTTTCTGTTCTCTATTGAAAAAGGGGACAAAAATATTCGGCATAAATTGCATGCTTTTTAAATCTCATTAGAATGACATGAAAAATAAATATTAAAAACTAATTAGGGTTCATATCCATTTCTGCATATGGAAATGTAAGTATTCTTAAGGACCATGAATGATAAAATTCAGGACCTACCAGCAAACGAGACTAAATTAAAGCAATTATTTATTGAACAATATACACTTTTTGTACCACTTTTTGTGGATGACGATTCTCCACCACCAGGATTTGGCAATTGGGTCCCCTAAAGACCAGTCGCCCTTTGAAAGGGGGAGTATATAAGGTATTCGTCCAGCCTTCTTAGCATGCCTTCGTGGTGTAGTGGTCAGTTCGCTCAATGCATATTCAAGAGGTCCGTGGTTCAAGTCCCGGCGAGGGCATTGCTCATTTTTCCTGCTTTGTAACAACCTAATATCTCTACAATGTATTAATATCATTAAGACACTTTTCATTTCGTCACATTTTTTGGAATCGTAGGTCAATAAATTTTGCCTTCAAATCCTTCTAAACCCTCCTAGCTGCAAGGTCTAATCTCTTAAAGGAAAATTATCCCTATCAATTTTGTAACAGCAAAAAATCCAGATGATTTTTCAAACAAAAAATGCAGAGAAGAAAAGTGTAAAAAGAAATTTTACAGGAAAAACTGATGCACATTTGAATATTGTTAGACAACTACACAGCATAAAACTTTTACACTGAAAAAATATAAAAGAAGACACATAAATTTAATTTCAAAATAACTACAGTAGCTTTCTTTTCCTTTTGCTATTTTGGAAACTGTTCTTTATAGCATTTATTATCTTGCTTATTTTTTAGACTCAAAATATTCCAAATTTGCCAAAATGGAAAGTAATGTCTCTTAATAACATCACAGGGGAAAATAAATGTTTTATTTTAATGTTATTTTTTAAATACAATATTTATCAATATTAATATCTCTGTATAGAAAAAAAAACCATCAAAATATTCATAAGTCTCCGAATGAGACATTTTGTACACAAATTGATCTCAAAATCACCAAAATTCTGATAAAATGCCAAATTTGGCACCGTTTGATAAACTAATTCACATCCAAAAAAGGGAAAGTTGTTTTTGATGTAATATTCTAAAAGCTCTTTGTCCACAAACACACACACACACAAAAAAAAAAAAAAAAAAAAAGATTTCGAAATACAGTACAAAGTTTGTAATCCGAACTCATCGGGACTTCGGCGATTCCGGATTAGGGGTTTTTCAAGATTGCAGATCATCAACTGAAATCTGGTAAGATGGCACGCAGAAATTATGCAATTAAAAATATGAAACCGTAATTTATGAAATAAAGAACAATTATGATCTAAAGGGTATCAAAATTTACAAAAAAAAAAAAAAAAAAAGCTTAATACTTATTTGTTTACTTTATTAAACATTTTTTTCAATGAAAGTTGTTTAAGTTGCTTTGTTTTTTGAGCTATTACTTTCTTTTTAATTCTATAAATAGACATAATTTCTTGTTGAGTTACAAAATTCCACTGTTCAAGTCCTGTAATTGCTGTGTCGAGAATACTGACTAACTTGTCAATCAAAATTTTTTTCATTTTCAATAACCTCTCTGTCACTTTCTTCACTATTGGAAGTGGTATTTTCTGGATCTAGAAACATACTACAGATTTTGCCGTCCGTTAATTTATTGATGATTGGGGCTTTGTCGTCGCAATGAAAAACTTCTGTTATATCATCTTCATTTATTACCGCTTCTCCAGCTTTCTTTACAAAATCCAATAACCAGAAAATTTCACCTTTAGTTTATAATATCCAAAAACCTTCAAATTCGCGACTATCATCTTCATTGTCCTAATCATGAAATATGGTAGATGGCCATAAATTATGCCAAGCATTTTTTAACGTATCTGGAGACACATCCTCCCAATGCGCATGCGTAAAGCATACAAAAAAAAAATTTGTGGCTTTGATGTCCGGATTATAGATCATTTCGTATAATAGACGTCCGGATTACGGACTTTGTACAGTACTTATGTTTAATATATATTTCATTCTTATATAAAAAGTGACCCAAATGATATATGTATGTCTAGTATCTAACTAATTAATCAAGCATTTACAAAATAATTCATGATGCTTTTTAATACTTTACACTAAATTTGTAAAGTTTTGTTAAAAATTTTTACTTTAAAGGCTATATTTTTTGGTAATTCAAAGGCTATATACATAGCAATATAGTAATCTTCAAATGCATTTAATATTTATTTAACTATTTCTATGTAAATAGTACAAATTTTACAGAATTGATGACCAACACCTATAACATTTGCTTAATCACAAGAAATGACACCAGTGACTCATTCCCACATGAAAAGAACCACTCACTTCAATACTACCTGAATATACATTATCCCCACTACTCGAACAAAGGTTGCAAATTGCGTGTAATTAATTACATAAAAGTATAGAAATCGATGCAAAAATATTTTTTTAAAAATTTTCTAAACATTCAGAAAAATTGGAGCTGCATGATTTATTCTAAGCACACAAATGATTTATAAAAGTAAACCGCAAAAACCAATACTGTTTTGCTACTTATTTATCCTAAATTCAGTGGTTATAAAAATATTTTAAATAATAATAATTTGTTGTAACCAAATATTAAATCCAACACTTGAATCTTATATAACAATTTATTTTTAGATGAATCTGAAAATATAATCAAGAGGGCTAGGTAGAAGTGATTTATAAATGTAATGCAAAATGCATAAAAATCAGATTTTCCTACTTATACATTTGTTAATATTACAGCTAATTCTCTCTAATATTCATTAGTTATACTCATAGCAATAATGTAACAACTAAAGATGAAACAATTATTAATGTTGAGCCATACAAAAATTACTTACTTCATGCGACTCAGGAGTTTGAGAAATAAAACCACCTCCATGACAATGAAATAACAAGCTCCGAGACCTAGGCTTTGAATTTTTTTTTCTTCCATTTTTATTCACAACCTGAAACAATTCAAAGCAGTCAGTATAATTACTCAGACCTATTCCCAGAATAATTCAGACACTTTGTTTAGTATGCATTACTCTTCATGACTGTTATCATTTTAGAGATAAAAAGGAATGAAGCACTCGTGTATATGCACATACACACACAAATGCCCATTAAAGCAGTTGTCATCAGTGACTTTACAATTACTATCGTTTAACCTCTGAAGTCATTGGTGTAGGACAATGCACTGAACTCAGATACCACTGACTGCAGTCAAAGGATGCAAAAATCTATCATGGTTGTGGGTCATCTATGGGTTTTTATTCAACAATGTAGAACAGTGCAATATTGTTGCAATGGCAATGTCTGTCAGAGCAATAGATGAAAAGCATTGTTAAGTGCAATGCAACAAAACTATAATATTATATACTGCTTGAAACAGTTTAGAAAATATTTTATTAAAGATGTTTCTAATGTCAAAATTAATCTAATAATGGGACAACTAAGCAGTACCTTAAATCTGCCAGAATAAATTTGATTATTAGTTTTAAACAATATAAAGGCTCATTTTTAAATAAATCACATATAAAGTGATAAATTCCGGGGAAAACATACAAAAAGGACATAGATACAGCTTAAATTTAGAAAACCATAACAAAAATATTAAAAATTATACATACCGATAAAAACAACACACAGATATATTCAGATATTTACTGAGTAAAAGACAGAAATTTAAGATAATAGGATCTAATAAAATAACAGTTAAAGAAGGAACACAAAAGTTACATTAAGTATAACTATTTCAACTTTTAAACGAATGTATCAAGCAAAACCTTCACTAGTTGTACATTTCTTTCTTTCTTTTTTTTTGGACACCCACAAAATTCAGTTCCCAAAAATATTTGTGCTAAATATAATATGAACTGGTTTTTCACAAATTTAAGATAAAAAATGAAACGTCATATTAACTTTAATATGATAAATATGAGACTAGGTCTGTCACTGGTAGTAACTACATAAAAACTCGCAAAAAGTTCCCCCACATGATGAATAATCTACACAGATTAAAATCTCATATGGACAAAATCCCATCCAGATAAAAAGCTCACATGCATATATATGTGTGTGTGTGTGTGCCATGCACAAGAAAATTAGTTTCAATTTATATAAAGCAAATTCTTATATTAAAACTTTACTGCATTTAATATATTTAGAAACAAGAACAATTTCTTAAAATGATGCATTTTATTTGAATGACTGTAATGTAAGCTTCTTTACATATATGTTTAAACTTTGACTATGCCTGATGAGAAAGGAGCAAATGGCTGTTGGCCTTGCTTTCCCTGAACTCTACAAAATTAGAGATATAAACTGCATACAAATACGCATTGTAGAAAGAAAAATTATTATAAATTATCCAACTGATCAGAAAATTTTTAGTATACAAAATTTAATGCACTAAGTAAAAAGTAAAACTGATCTTCTGTTTCAGCAAAAGCCATACAATGCCCTAGTCTGATTATGAAAATATATTTGTGCAATCAGAAATACTGTTTTATAATAGTTAATTAAAACAGTTTTTGATAATTTAATTAATTTTCAACTCTAAGGCTTTTATATACTTTAACATCACAGAAATTTGAAACCTCATATTTAATCAGTTTAATAATTATTTGTAAAGTCTTCAGAAGTCCTAATTTTATTTTGTAGGCTTCTTTTTTTTTATCCAGGCACTGCTTGTGTAGATTTTTATCAAGTGATATGCAATGTTTGAAACAGTCGCTAGTTGTTCATACACCGTTCACTCAGCCACAGACCATGTAGTTTCTTAAGTCTCAATTAAGTGAAAAAAAGCAATTAAAGAAAAGCCTTGCTTTACCTCTTCTGGCTTTGCCAATGTCTACCTACATGTAACATTGTAAATAAAGGATCACTTTATTATTCAATACTTTATACTTACCCTTAGAGGGTTGGGTAGAGAAGGGACATTAGAGTTTCGTCAGAAATACACAGACCTGTACTACAATTTCAAATATTTTAATATTTTATAGGGGAAAATAGGATCAAATTTTCATCAGTTTAGTTAAAAATACCATTTCTTGTTTTCTCATCAATATATTTCTGGAATAATATTTGCTTGAATTTCAAATTTTATCAATTTTCAGCAGCTGACATATGAAGAAAACAAAAATATTTTCATAACTTTTCAGCTGAAAATGATTTAGAAATATATGCTATCCATTTTAGAAAGGTTGTAGGGATTTGTATTTATTTTAACTAACAAGTTAAAGATTAAGTTGAAACTTTTCAATAAGCCTTCATTCCCCTAACTTTCAGTGCCAGACTAGTTAAATGTTCTAGCGTGCATGAAGGAATGCAAATTTCTACTTTGAAGGAAGTATTTAAAAGCCGAGTTTATAGAAGAAAGGAGACAGTCAGGCGATAGCCGCCACCTCTGCTGTAGGTACGTTTGCTTATTGCTGGTTCAAGTGGCTTAATTGCATTTATTTGCTGCCACTAGCTACGAAGGGGGTTTAAGTTACAGGATCTTGCTGAGCCCTGTAGTTTAGTTCTATCATTTGTTAATATCTTCAACTTTTTAGTTTCGTTACTTGATTTTCAGTTACCGCCCAAGCAGAGGGCGAAATTTGTTAGCGTCAAGTTGATGCATTGTAAATTTTCAAAGATTTAATAAAGGGTACTTTAACCCTTCTCTTGTGTAGTTTCCTGCTACTCCAGTTTTCATAAAGAAGTTTATATACTGGGCTCTACAAGGTAATTTACAATTTTAGCAATAGATTTGCGAACCTGCAAAGTACTCAAATGTTTGATTGGATTACTTTTTTTAACTCAGATACAAAAATTTTTGATGAACTTAAAAGAAATGTCTGGCATACTGAAAGAAGAGCATTGTTTAAAATTAAGACCATCAAATTTTGAAAAAAATTACATAAAAACATGAGAGAAGAGTAAGACTTGCATTGAAAACAAAGAAATTTTTAGAAAGGAGATGAATAATTGTTTTCAAATTAGACAAAAACATCAAATTTTTTTATGTATGTCTCTCATTTGATTAAAAATTGTAGAATATTAAACAAAAGAAATGCCTGTTTTAACTAGCATGCCTATGTCCTCAAAGATATCGCTTTATATTGTTGTTCAAAACCTGAAAGAAGGCTTCTAAATTATCCTATTAAATCAATAAAAATTTATTGAATTTATTCTTGAATTAAATAACTTAAATTATATGTTTTGTCTGTCTTTTAATATCAAACACAAGTAATATTTACATTATAAAATTCTAACAGTATATCTAAAGAGATATAAAATTAATAAAAAGGTTTTCTGAGTAGAAAAGAAATTTGAAGATTTGCCAAATTTAGGTCCCAGCTTTTATCAACAGGTAAGAAATATTTAAACTTTACATTATGTGAGAGCAGGTATTACATCAAATACAAAAAATTTCAGAATGGATAATTTTTAAATCAATATTTCAAAAAACGTATTAAAATTTTCACTTGGTATAAATATTTGGCTAAATGAAAGCAAATATTTTAAGAAGTCTCATATACACTTTAAATTTTTCCTATGAATTGCACATGATGAAAGTAACAAGCATATCTATCATATACACATATAAACAGGGTGATCCAAAAGTCAAGTACACCAAATAAATGTTTCGTCAAACAACAAAAATCAACATTGTATTGTAAATTTTCACAGAGCTAGATTCGATGATTTATAGCTTATAAACCATTGAAACTAGTCCTGTGAAAATCTGAAAATATAACGTTAGTTTTTGTTGTTTGACCTCTAAATGAAATGCAGTTGTAATAGTTGCATCTTCTATCACTAAATAACACAGCTGGAGTATTAGCAACAAGCATATATTCCACTTATGAATTCACCACCATATTACATCTGCATTATAGCTCTATTTGTATTGCTATGCAGCATAAAATCAAACCAAACAACATAGCAAACACCAGGGAAAATCAATCCTCATAAATGAATATTGCTTATAGGATTATTCCTCATCTGCAAAAAAATGCATTCACATTGTTTGAGTTTGTGAATACGCGACCATGCTGTTTGCTTATATTTTGCCTTCAGTATTAGATTATGATTTCATCATTAAAAAGACTATTACTTCTAATGAAATGCATTGTCTTACCATAAGATTATACTTCTCAGTGTACCAACAAGTGGTAAGTATAATATAAACTATACAATGCTGGAGTGAATGATTACATTTCCTGCATGTATTCTAATTCCATAATTATATATTAACAATGAGTTCAATCAAAGTTATTAGTAGCAACAGGCTTACAATAAATGAAATCCTGAAGTATAAAAACCTTTCTCAACAAACGACATAATTATATTATTATTTCATGTGAATGCATGTTATTATTTCATGCTAATGCATGTATGTATATAAGATATTCACCTTCTCTAATTATTCACAGCTGATCTGAGGCCTAAGGAGTAGTAGAGAAAATCAGAACAGGCAAGATTGAAGTTACAATGAAGTAGAAATGAAAGTATCTTATTAGATACTGTAATAATATTACTATGTATTTTTATGCATCAGAATGCAGGTTCCTTTTAAAGAAATATAACGCAAGTTACTAGAAATTTATCCAAGACTACTTTTCATTTGTTATATTCTTATTATTCTCAACAATTTGAAAACTGAAATCGATACTTATAGTGAACTGACGCAAAATGTCGTTTTCAGACTAATAGCAGTTCTGGGCTAAAAATGTTCAATAATGTTTTTCCCTAGCTAATTTTTCATGACTCATCTAATGATATAAACTATCTTTTGGGGAAATACCACGCTTGTCAAAACTATTTAGTCAGTTTATAGTATACTGTTGCATTGAAGATCAACATACAATAATAGTAGAGTCTTCTTACTTTATATCAGTGTTTTTTAGCCGCAGCAGTACATCTGTTTCAGATGTAAGCAAAAAAGTATTGAAAGTGTCAATGTTGTTCAATTTAAATTAGAAATAAAAATATTTTGGAATGTTATTTTTTTACAGAACTTATGACAATCCCCCCCAAAAAAACTAGATGTATTATTTCTAGTAAAACCATTTTCTCTTTATCTAACCAGAAAAAAAAAAGTAGCATCACCAAAAAGGTATAGCTGTTTTCTTAACTTATTTTCTCTTGTTTGTTTGGGTCAGCCCTAGAAATAAATATTTGATCCCCTTCTATCGATATGATTTTCCTGGAATTTCTTACACATATGTATTTACAGTGGCAATCTACAAGACTTTTTTTTCTGACACTTGAATAATTTTCCTTCATTCACAAAAACTCTTTGTTCACAATTTGTCAATTTAAAATATAAAATTTTACGTGAAATTTTTCACAGTTTGTAACTCAGAGGCATAGCTAGGTTTTTCAGTGCCCAGGGAAGATCTTGTGCCCCTTTCTGTGTGCCAAGAATGAAAGAAGTTTCATTCTAAAATTTCGTAACATCAGTTTGGCACTCCTGGATGCTGTGCCCAGTCAGATGCCTCTCCTTGCCCTACTCTAGCTACGCCACTGTTGTAACTTATATGCTTAGCAGTACAGTACAAAGTCTTTAATCCGGACTCGTTGGGACTTCGGCGATTCCGGATTAGCAGTTTTTCTGAATTATAGATCATCAATTTAAATCTGGTAAGATGGCATGCAGAAATTATAAAATTAAAAATATGAAACCGTAATTTATGAAATAAAGAGCAATTATGATCTAAAGGGTATCAAAATTTACAAAAAAATAAGCTTAATATTTATTTGTTTACCTTATTAAACATTTCTTTCAATGTAAGTTATTTAAGTTGCTTCGTTTCATGTTCTAATACTTTCTCTTTAATTCTATAAACAGACATAATTTCTTGTTCAGTTACAAAGTTCCGCTGTTCAAGTCCTGTAATTCCTGTGCCTAGAACACCGACTAACTTCTCAATCGAAATTTTTTCGTTTTCACTAGCCTCTCTGTCACTTTCTTCATGCCTTCATCCATTTTTTGCAGCAATTCCACTTTTTGTTTGATGAACATCGAAACATGCTTTCGCTTTGTAGATACTTTGCATCAGAAATTCTATTTGACATATTCGAAAGTTCAAGCTTACTTCTATAAAATTGCATTAACAGTCTGCAAAAAATAATAAGCCGGATCCAATTAGAAGATTAAGGAACAATGCAATCTGCAACATTAACTGAAATAGATAATTAGATAATTTTAGCCTAGCTTATACCATCAGTTATACACTGAAGTGACAAAAGTCATGGGATAGCAATATGCAAATATACAGATGGCAGTAGTATCGCATAGAAAATGTATAAATGCGAAGTGCTTTGGCAGGGCTTTCATTTGTGTTCAAGTTATTCATGTGAAGAGGCTTTGATGGGATTATGGCCGCACGACTAGAATTAATAGATTTTGAACGCGGATTTTGAACAGACTTTGTCCTTTCTTCAAACTATGGTTTGGGGTTCACATTCCGACGAACGGGCAGGCTTCATTTCATGATTTTCCATATGTTTAACGTATATACAAGCCAGTTTTCCTTAGAAAGGCCTCCATGAAGGCATCCCTATCCTTAGGCAAATAGTCCTCGTGTGATTTGCCGTTAATCAGATAAACCAAACCTACCTTTCATCTGATTAGTGATTCAAGTCCCAGATTGTCCTTTGTGTTAGTATTTAAGGCTGGTGAGCTAATGCCTGTGGCTTAACAATGTGCTGAAGAAGGAAAACAATACTTTGACTTTTGAAATATCATGATTCTTTTCGCCTGAGGCTTAACACTGTCCGAGTGGTAAAGTCGCTGAAGACTGGTAGTAGATTGTTCCAAGGGTAAAAATTCGAAACTAAAGATTTTGGGAGACATATGAATAAAAGGTAAAAAAATCTTGAACTTCAGATCTTTGAATAAGGTTCATATCACACTTTAAGTTAATTAGATTAACTCCATTTATAGATTTTCTAGTGTCACTCCTTTTCATTTTTAATGGTAATAAAAAGAACGTAAACTCCGACTTCAATAACTAAAATCTTGAAATTATTGCAACACCTTGTTTGCAACAAATATGTAATTAAAATGCTTTCACGAACCGCTTAGAATTGCTTCGGGGCCGCCAGTTTGAAGCTGCTGATAGATATCCAACCGCATTTTTCATTTTTGAAAGGTCCTTCATGGCATTAAATAGGAATTAAAAACATTCCTCTGAAAGTTCACTTAATTTAATCTGTTCGTTATCAGGTTCATTACACACATGAATGAAATTGATGCCGAAAAGGTTTTCTGAGATTGGAATTGTGGTTCTCAAAATAGGCAAACACTTTACACTGAAGTGACAAAAGTCATGGGATAGCAATATGCAAATATACAGATGGCAGTAGTATCGCGTAGAAAATGTATAAATGCGAAGTGCTTTGGCAGGGCTTTCATTTGTGTTCAAGTTATTCATGTGAAGAGGCTTTGACGTGATTATGGCCACACAACGAGAACAGACTTTGAACGTGAAATGGTAGCTGGAGCTAGACGCATGGGTCATTCCATTTCGGATATCGTTAGGGAATTCAACATTCCGAGATCCAAAGTGTCAAGAGTGTGCCGAGAGTATCTAATTTCAGGCATAACATCCCACCATGGACAGCGCAGTTGCCGACCACGTGCACTTAATGACCGAGACCAGAGACGTCTGTGTAGAGTTGTCAATGTTCACAGACAAGCAACACTATGTCAAATAACCACAGGAATGAATGTGGGACGTACGAGAGACGTGTCCGATAGGACAGTGCGGCGAAATTTGTCTTCTGACTCGAGTGCCTTACTGACAGCACGACATCGCGTGCAGCGACTCTCGTGGGCTCGTGAGCATATCAGTTGGTCACTAAACGAACGGAAAACTGTAGCTTGGTCAGATGAGTCACGATTTCAGTTGGTAAGAGGTGATGGTAGGGTTCGAGTGTGGCGCAGACCCCACGAAGCCATGAACAAAAGTTGTCAACAAGGCACTGTTCAAGCTGGTGGGTGGTTCCATAATGGTCTGGGCTGTTTTTACATGGCATGGACTCGGTCCTCTGGTGCAACTGAACCGATCATTGACTGGAAATGGATACCTTCAGCTACTTGGAGATCACTTACAACAATTCATGGACTTCACATAACATACTCAAACAACGATGGGATTTTTATGGATGACAATGCGCCATGTCACCGGGCCACAATTGTTCGCGATTGGTTAGAAGAACATTCTGGACAATTCCAGCAAATGATCTGGCCACCCAATCGCCCGACATGAATCCCATCGAACATTTATGGGATATCATCGAAAGGTCAGTTCGTGCCCAAAACTCTGCACCATCAACACTTTCACAATTATGGACGTCTATACAGGCAGCATGGCTCAATATTCCTGCAGGGGACTTCCAACGACTTGTTGAGTCCATGCCACGTCGAGTTGCTGCACTTCGCCGGGCAAAAGGAGGACCGACAAAATATTAGGAGGTATCCCATGACTTTCGTCACTTCAGTGTACATTGAACGCGCATGCGTAAACGTATTATGCACATGTGTAAACGCTATGCATGCGCAGAAAGTTTGCAGCTTTGAGGTCCGGAATATAGATCCTTCTGGATTATGGACGTCCGGATTAAAGACTTTGTACTGTAGTATGATTTAAAAGTCTATAACTACCTTTTTTCCCATTCAAGTATTAGCAGAAAAATAAAGCTACTTTTGTAACCAAAGAACAACAAAAAAAGAAAAAAAAAAAAAAAATGCTTACTTGACCCTCACGATGTACAGCAGACAAAAGAAGACAGCGAATGGGTGCAGGGGCAATATGAGATGAAGGGGGTGATATTACAACATATTCGTTTGTTTCAGTATGTATTAAAGTTACAGGTTCAGAAGGAATAAAAATATCCTCTCTCACTTCCAATTTTGGACATACCCAAGCAGGTAACTTCTAAAAGAACACAAAAAGACAAAATTTTAATACTTGAATAACAGATAACTGAATAGTAATATATTTATAATGAAAAATATTAATAATAAACCTGAAAATTAATATTTGAAGTTATGTTTGCAATGTCCTTTTCATTTTCAGCTATTTTTGCTTACATGTATGCATTTTATACATAATTTACACTTTTACATGTGAGAAAGTGCTTTAAAACCTAGTAAACAGTGAGAAAAAAAGCAAAACAAGTCATTATTTATTCTTAGTATACTCTCTCTCAAGAAGTCAAAGTGACATGAAAAAGAAATCAAAGACCCTAAATTTTCTTTTCCAATAAAATATTTCCCTATTATGCATTTTCAAATATACAAGGGCAATTCAGAAGCTAGCCTGCCTTCTGCCTGAGGAGGAGATGCCTATGCAGATGACTTTCTAAGAGGAACTGGCTTGTATGCAAGTTAAACATGGGGAAAAACATGAAAATGCTCATGGTTAATTAATGGATTATTTATTTTGAGTAATGAAATCTACAAAAATCCGTGTTTAAATTATAGCAAAAAGTTTTGTCAAAGAACAAATCCTGTAAGTTCTTTGAATTCATACCATATTCCTCAATTTCCTATACATCTGGTGATTTGGCCACCAGAATCAGTGGCGCAGTAGTCAAACTGTTTCATATTACATCTATGGAGGTTTTCCTTCTTTATATACATCTAAAGGTTTTCAAATATTGCAAATCTAAAGGTTTTCAAGTATCGTAAACATAAAGCAAAATTTTATAGTTAATACAATCTGTGGTATGGAGAAGTGGTAGAAAATTGAAGATGATATAACAGAAACTTTTCATTGCGATGAGAATGCCTCAATCATTAATCAACTAACAAACAGTGAAATATGTAGAATGGCTCTAAATCCAAACAATATCACTACAAATAGTGAAACAAGTAGAAGCAGACAGGTTGTTGAAAACAAAAAAATTGTGACAGGCACTTTAGTGGAAGTTCTTGATACAGCAATTACAGAACCTGAAGAATGGAATTTTATAAAACAAAAAATTATGCCTTTCTATCAAAAGTATTAGCACAAAAAATGAAGCAACTTAAACAACCTACATTCAAAGAAATGTTTAATAGAGCAAACAGATAAATATTGAACTTTTTTTGTAAATTTGGATTCCTTTAAGGCATGATTTCTTAAACTGTGGGTTGGGACTTGCAACAGTGGATCACCAAAAATTTTAGCATTTTTGATATTTCTTTAACTTATTATAATAATTTTACAACTATCATATATTTTTACTTAATGTATCTGAAAATAAATAAAGATAAGACAATACAGGAAAAGAAAAAAACCAAAATTTTTCGATGCATTCTTTTTATAATATAAACGTTCATTTTCCTTGCTTTGCATGTGACACTGTCATTTTGTCTCTTATTTAAAATTTTCATATTGTTCTTTGTCCTAAAATTAGAATCTAAAGTTAATGACCTAAAACTGCAATAGTATATTACAGTACAAGTGAAAAAATTGACAGTTTCACTCATTCGTGTGTCAGATTTGTGCAATACTTATGGAGTCGCACAAAATTTTTGTAAATACTATGGGGTCCTGGGGGTAGTGAAAAAAATCTCAATTATAAAAAGGGGTCGCGACTGAAAAAAGTTTAAGAAACTCCGCTTTAAGGTCATGAAATGCTTCAATATTTCATAAACCACTATTTCATATTTTTAATTTTGTAATTTGTACATCTCATATTTAAACTGATTCAGAAAAATACCAAATCTAGAATTGCCAAAGTCCCAATGAGTCCATATTTCAGACTTTGTACTGCATATTAAATATATATATATAAAGAGAGAGAGACATAACTTTATTTTAGAAACAATACCATAAAATTGGTGATTCCTAAGTTTCACTGGCAAATCATAGCCTTAAGAAAGTGATAAAAGTTTAAAAAAATACCTGTAAATGTTTCTGTTTTATACTTTTACCAAACCAATTTTAGTACACGTCAGCATTTTAAGTTTCATAAAATTATGCCAATCTGTTAGATTTTAAAATTCATATGTTTAAAGAATAAGAAAAAATTAGAGAGCACACATGGATAAAGAGCACAATTACACTCAATACAAAATGAACTTTACCAACTGGTGTAGGTAAACGTTACACTTTGCGACAAAAATCTAAAATTTCTCAGTACAGTGCAGTTCTTTCATAGTAATACACACATCTACTATTTTAAAGAAAAAAATTATAGACTATTTTGTTAAGCACATATTAAAATATTAAAGCAGTTCAAAGTTTATAATGGGATTAATGAGATAAATTTAGAACTACAAATAAATAAACACTAAGCAATAGAAGAAAGTTTTATTAGAATATATTTACTAAAACAAGAATGTAACCAAACAGGACATGTCATAAACTAGTGTTGTTTTAGCACTGCAATCCAAGCATGTAGTTTCTCTAAAAATACTGGGGTAAAATGAAATTGTTTAACAAAATAATGTAATGACAAATATATATATATATATATAACTAATCACAACAAAATGTTAATTACAAATTAATTCATTACTGCAGGTATATAATTATATCCATACAATAAGAAGAACAGCACTTCCAAACTTTTTGCAGCACACAGAAATTTATATCCTGACTCGCTCCTGCATCATAATCCACAATGTTAGAACCATTATCGTCTATTCAGGATAATGGTTCTAATTTGGTTCAGGATGGTTCAGGATAATGGAAAGTGTAATAGAAAGATAGTGGTTCTAAAAGTGTAAAAGAATAACTAGGAAATAAATAGCATAAAAAAGGAGAACTTTAATGAAGTATAAATCATTCTACAATTTAAGAAGCTTGGGAACAGTGACTCTTATGTAGCCATAACCTATTACAGTTAAATATGGCTCACATGGCTGTAACACTTATAATGGGAGTGCAACAAGTTCTAAGCCTACATATCTTTGATGTATGATACACCTATTACAATGATTGCATTATTTCTTGAAAGTATAAAAATGAAAGACCGTAAATGACACAGACAGTACAAAAGTGAAAGCAGTTAATATTTAATCAAGAGTTGTCAGTCAATAATGTCTATTAACATTCAAAATACCAAACATTATTCTAAATTAAGGAAGGCTGATAAATATACAAGAATGCACGGTTGCAGTCTAACAGAGTTACATTACTTTCTCTTTCCACTGTCAAAAGCTGGGCTAGCATGTTTAGATATACGAAGGCATGATTTAAAGATAATACCAGACTAGGGTGTATTTGGGATGTGACAACTGAAGAAATGTGTGCTTAAGTGGAAGAATATAAAATTAAAATAGATGAGTGACAGCTTCTCAAACTGTTCTAGAAATGAGCATAAGAGAAAAACTGCATGAAAAGATGGGGATGTTATTAGACTTGCAATGAACTGAACATGGATACCAGGAATGAAACAACATGAGGTTGAATGTTCTCAATAACTGCTATCTGTGATAAACAGCAGTAAATATTCTTATTTACAGCTAGTGACAGGAGACGAAGCATCGTGACCCAGAAATGAAATGAACAAATGTGTGGAAACACAGAGTTCAGAACACAAAATCTGGCCAGAAGACGTCAGAATATTTGTTTTGGGAATAAACAGGCAAAAATGTTTATTGGTTATATGGCACAAAATACAATAACAACAGTATTTATTGTGCTAGTGAGTCAACATAGATATGCCAAAAACACAAAATACTACTTTAAACTCGGGAAATAAAACTTTTGATGACAATGCTCTAACACGTAAGGCTCAGATTTCCTGGACTCGTATTCAGCAATGCAGATACCAGCTTCTCTCCCATCCATAGTATTTAGCAGACCTCATTCCAAATGAAAATATATTTTATTTATGACAGTGTTAAGTTACAAAATAAACTTGCTATAGAATGTTTTTAAGAAGTCCGGTACACTGACTTTTTAACTGATTACCTTAAGCTGCATTAAGGTATGCAGTTTTATAATGTTGAGCAAAAAAAGGAAAAAAAAATCTTATACTTCATCAATTGGCAACAAAATTTATTTAGTGTGGACATGATTTTATTGAAAAATTGAAATAATAAACATTTCAATGAGGTTTTTCTTCCATGCATTAGGAGGCTGGGGGAATCAAGTAAAGTGCAAAATACCAGATAAGATCTTGACAAGAAACATTAATGCTATTTTTTAAACACATAAAAAATTAAATTTTTCACTTTATTTTCCCTTTCATTTTAATGCATGAAATTTTAGCTTAACCTATATTTGCATTTAAAATGTCATTCTTCAAGTATGATATGATAGGATTTTTTACTAGTTATTGCACAACACATCAAACTTGCCTTAAAACAGGAATGCCTTCATGAAAGACTTGCTAAGGAAAACTGACCACATTTACAAACATGGGATAAAATACCATGGAAACCCCATGCAGCCAGCTTATTCATTTACTGGAAGACAAAAACCCATAATGAATTACCTGCAATTCCTGGCTTTTAATTACACTCTTCAGAGACATAACTTAAGAATTAAAATATTAAGTAATAACATGTCTTTGTCAATTCTGTATATCCATTTCAATGTAATTCCATTATTAAAACACAGTTCTGAATAGAAAAGATTTTTAATTTGAACAACTATTTTGCAAGGCAGCGAGTGTTGTCCAAAATATAAAGCTACAACAATGCATTTTAGAACAACTGGAACATTTGGAATTTCAATTGTCAATCTGGAAACTGACAAGATAATAACATTTTAAAAACTCTCAATTTTAGGATTAAATGTCAAAAACTTGATGGTCTTAGTATTTCCCAAAAATGGGGAAAATCCAATTCACAAAAAAAAAAAAAAAAAAAAAAAGGCAAACTTCAGAACTCCCATCATAAGTGTTCTGATATATAAAGTGAAGTGAGATCTATCAGTGTAAACAAACAATTTATCATATTAAGGATATTTTTTCCACATAATTAACTAACAGATTTTTACAAGAGCTTCAAATGAAAATTTTTTCTGTATTAGCTGTGCCATGTTAACTTTACACTCTATACTTAATTTCAGGTCTGTTAATACAATTGTTTATTCTTTTGATTTATTTATTTATTTATTTTTAAATATTTTGAGGCATTATATCTTAAGTCTTCATTCTTTCAGCTAGGTTCAAGCTATAGTTTTGCTAAATATAATTTGCAGGAACTTATCAACTTTTCAAATATGCAAAAAACTTGTTCTTATTTCTTCCCAAAGCATATATTTATAAGCAACAATATGATTTGAACTGGGGCTGTTCATACCACTCCAAAGATCAAACTTAACACCTGATTATGACGTATTTTTTTTCCCCCCAATGGCGGGCACTTTTGCCTATAACGGCACTGGCCACTACTAAGGCCAGAAGTGGTGGCCATTTTATTGTGGAAGCACCTAATAGGCAGCCACCACTACCTCCTCTGAAGGGACAGACAATTTTACATCCATGCCTTCTCGAACTCGGGCCCTTCGATATCGCAGTCAGGCTCCCTTAACCACTATACCATCTGGGTGGCTGATTATAATGTATTTTCAAAATATAATTCATTTCCTACTAAAGGACACAAATGCTTAACAACAGTCAGAGAAGATTTACTTATATATCATATGTTAAATTTAGAGCATCTCTCCTACAGCTTCATTCTGAGCCAACTAGTATACTTAAAATTGTTGGTCCCATTTACTTTCATGACAATTTTTGCAATGAGCTGAATCTTAATAAACACGACATCAAGATATTTAGCACACTGTGACTCTTTAAGAAAAATACTTTCATATTCTGTATTAATTTTTGTTGGCTGGTAATTAAGAGCAAAGATCTGCTAATTGACTTTAGATATTTAATTTTTAATAAAATATCTATCTTTTTAGTAAGTCCAAATAACCAAATCGACACACAGTGAGGTTAAGGATGCAATGTTTCTACATTCTAACAAATACGTACAGAAAATTAGGAAAGCAACCACTTTATGTTTGGCATATATTTTAGTCATGACTCTATCAATTTTGAGGGCTAACAAGTACAGGTCCCTCCTCATCAGGAGCAAAGAAATTTGCTTCTGATGACCTGTTTGTTTATCCTGTACCTGTTTGTCCTTTAAATCGATACAGTCTTGACTAAAAGAAAGGTGGTTGCTTTGTCTAATTTTATATTTTACATTGGTGTGTTTCTCTTCCATCTTGATTTTTGCTGCCAACTGGCATTTTCATGAAAGTTCTTCTGATTTGGATCAATTGCCCACTTGCACCATTTTGGTTTATGCTTCTGGCAGATTTCTTTGCTCCTTATAAAGAGAGACCTATACCTATGCGCCCTTGAAATCGATGGTCTTGACTAAAATCTATGGCAAACACAAAGCAGTTACTTTGCCCAATTTTATGTTTTACTTTGCCATGTTTCTCTTCTGTCTTAAATACATACAGGTTTATCATAGAGGGAGACATGAGTACTACATTATTCTGTACTTACATAAATGAGTATTATATTATTTTGCACTTATATACCTTAGATGCAGATTTTATGCAGTTGGCTTAATTATTTAGACTTCAACCACACCTAAGAAACCTCATAACATTTGTTGAAAAATGAAAAGCTAAGTAGATATTTACCTTCATGAAAGGAGTTTCACTAAGACTCCAGAAAGCTTTCAGAAACTCAACTGATGAATTCTGTGCAACATCTACTATCTGTTGAGCTCTTAATTCAGGATTAATTATATACTTTACACCATGAATTACAGCCAAAACAGCCCTAGAGACAGGACTACCAGAGCTCTGATATAAATCACTAAATGTTGCCATAATTACACTAACACCTTGCAGTATTCTTCGCATTGATGTGCAATACTAAAGTGAAATAAGAAAAAAAGAATTTTAAAAATATAACTTTTTTACATATGTAAATTCAAGAAATACTAAAAATTTAAATATTCAGAACAACACAAAACTAATGATATTTAAAAAAATATATAGGAAATGAAAATATTAAAAATACACACATGAAAAACCAGCTTGGCAATTGATTTCTATTCAATGCTATGATAAGATTATTCAGTCAGATGGCATATAAAATTATTTAAATAAATCTATGTAAAAAAAATATCTCCAAGATGTAAAGCTTTTATAAATATAGTTGATTAAAACACATACAAGAAACACTCAGGTACAGGATTACATAAAATCTAACAAGTAAAACAAAATACATTATTAAGAAAACATTTGAAAAACCCAAAATAAAAGAAATTTTTCCCTCCTAATGAATGTATATGCAATATACTTTAGGAGTACTGTGGTATTCAGACTTTATGGCAATATGACCTCATGAAAATAAAAATGATCTAAAAAAAATTATATGACCCCAACCAAAGCATTGACCCTTAGTTATATACCATCAATTCAGATATTTTAGGACTTTTATCCACCTTGAGACCCTAATATAAATTTTCGTGACCCCGAAAGGGGTCATGACCCACAATTTGAATATCACTTCATTAGTACATGCAGTATTAGAATAGGATAATATATACAAGATACATAAGCAAGAAAGAAAATCATTACAATCTCAAAGCACTGGTGGCAAAAAGGAAAGCTAAAAAGGGAAGAAATCAGCACACAGTGTTGTCATTGCTAGATCAGGTACAAATAATTATCTGGCATGGTATAGATACATACAGTTCATGGATAATGCTTCAAGATACAGTGTGTCAGATCTGATCCAGTTTATTAATATGATAATTTAAATTATATAGCAAAATTTGTTTAATAATGAATCGAATTATTCTAATTAATTCTATAATAATGTATATAATTACTCTAATTCTATAATGATGAATATATAATAATTAACAAGTAGCGTGATTTAGCGTCACATATGGATAATCGTAACCTAACAGCACACTCATAACGTGCGCTTTTGTTCGATGTAACCACGATTGATTCTAAGTAAGCCATCCTTTGACTAACCTTAGTAGAAATCGACGAAAGCTTTTTTACGGAGCCCAAAAATGAAGATGATCGAATTCTGGTGTTTTTAAATAAAGAGGTATCAGTTCTTCAGAACTCTGCAGGAACAACTGGTGGAGGTAGCCAACGCTCATGGTCGACAGAATAATACATAAATATCAATTATTCTTAATTATTAAATTATATAATAATGAATACTAATCTATTTCTATAATAATGAATCTAATGATTCATATTTTATCATGTTTCCGATGTGGCCGAATAGAATAGGGCACATAAATAGACTAGCCTAATTGGATGTTAGTATTACATAGCCAGTTCTGGAACAAATGTGACACATGCAGACAATTTCTGTGCACACTCAGAAAAAGCAAATAACTGTCTGTCTAAATGAATAGTTAGCTTCATGGAGAATTTTTTGAGGAAAACTTGCTAGTATTCTCATTAAATGTGATGAAAAACATGAAATGAAACGAAACATGCCCATTCACAAGGAATCATACTGAAGTTGAACGAGTAGAATTCACTGATTTTATCAACTCTGCCTCTAGTGTGTATGTGTGTGTGTGTGTGTTTGTATGCATGGATATATGCACTCTTTTGAAAAAAAAAAAAAAATCAAAGCACCAAGAAGGATTTTTGTGATCGTGACGAAATTTGGTATGCAGAAACATCTTAATCGAACATGCAAATGATCAAAGTTTTAAGGTAAATGAACAGGAATTGAAATCATAGCACGCATTTCTAGTGCACAATTCACAAAGTATAAAAACCAGGAACAGAGGCGGAAAATTTTTCTTCTTTTGTTGCTGCCATTGCAATTCCATAAAGAAGCAACTAAAAATGCCATTACGATGATATCGAAGACCTTACAGACAACTAAACGACTTCGAACATGGTCGCATTGTAGGGTTCCGTGAAGCGGGATGGTCATACTACCGAGCAATAGGCCGCCACCTGTAGCGTAACGATATTGCTGTGCAAAGATGTTGGCAGCAATGGTTGCTACAGAGAAATTGCTGATGAAATAAAGGCTCTGGAAGACCAAAGATCACAAATGCAAGGCAAGATAAGATGATTGTTCGCCAGACCTGAACCGCCCCAATGGTTTCATTGTCGACTATTCAACGCACTACAGCACGTCTATACCTCCCATGGTACCGTCCACCATCTCACGGAACTTGTCTGAGGTGGGTTACACTCACGGGCTTTAACGTTGCCTTGACCCCACAAATCGTCGGAGTCGTCGGAGTGGTTTCACAGACGATCATCATGGTTGCATCAGACTGGCATCGTATAGTGTTCAGCAATTAATCCACTTTACTCTTGAAGCAGAGACCACCACGTTGTGTCTGGAAGAGGGGCCACGGTCCCATCAGCCTTGTTTTACAAAGGATACAGCAAACCCAGGTGTGATGGTGTGGGCACTATTTCTAAGAAGGGTCATCTTGTCATCTTCGTACATCTTTAAAGCTCAACAACAGTTCTACCATCCTGTGGCCAGTGATTACCTTTCATGGCACTCTCCGGGGCCATTTCCAATAAGATAATGAAAGGTACTACTGCTGAATATCTGGACTGTCTCCATGTGGCTGAAACTCTTCCTTGGCCAGCAAGGTACCAGATCTTTCACCACGAGTATGTTGAGGCATGTAGGTGCATATCACACAAAAATATCGCAGTGTGGAGGGGCAATGAGAAGCCTTGCAGAAGGTGTTGCAGGATGACATTAATCAGCATGCTTGCCACAGGGGTGGTTCGGCAACTACTAATTTGAACACTCAATGAGTGTGTAGCCGTAAAGGTACTATGACCTGATTTTTATCATTTATATCTGGTAAGCTATAAATATTCAATTTCATCAAAAACAACCACTTCCTTCATGGCACTTCGATTTTTTTGCAGAAGAGTGTATATATGACCTTACTTAAAAAGGGCCTGTAGATGCCATGAAAATATAATCAAAAGGTTGCAAACAACAACCAAAGCAATGTGAGAATAATTAAAAATGTACCAAAAATATTCAGTTATCATAAGAAAAAGCTTCCAAGATATACCTCATTGAAGTGGAAACCCTGTAACATTCTACACTAAAGATCCATAAATTGGTCGAGCCTTCTGCAGGCATGCACAATTTGGTCATTTGAGCGTATTGCAAAGCAAGACTCAATAAGACCATAGGGCCATTTTCCTGCATACTATATCATGTTTATATGGTTAGATGTAACTGTACTGGTGCTGCTGTTATTTGCTGGCCAGTAGTATGTGATAAAGCAATCTTGTGGAATGTTGCTTCCTTTTTGTTAAATTGTCTGGCAGCTATCAATCAGACACTTTGATACTTATATATTCATCCTGGAAGTTGGTGGATCACAGATTGCTTCTTATTTAATTGGATAGTAGACAAATTTAAGTTTATAAACATAGCACACAAAGACATTAAACAAATATGTACTCAAACTTTGAGATTATCTGACCAAAAAAAATTCATTAAATCAGGTGCTAATCGTTCAGGCAATCAAAATATCCATTGGAATTTAAACAGCGGTAAAAAATTGTCACCTTCTTTATGAACTCCACCCTGCATAAATTTGCTAGATACAAATCTATGTCATATGGTTCTTCATTATCTTCTATAGTGCCATTTTCAGGAACCTCACATTCTACAGTTTTGATTATGTTGTCTAGATGGCATAGTGGTTAGGGAAGCCGACTACAATAACCAAGGGCCCAGGTTTGAATCCCAGAGAAGGCATGGTTGCAGTACAAAATCCAAAATCTGGATTTTCAATTTTTCCAGATAATAGATCATCAGTTTAAATCTAGTAAGATGGCATGCAGAAATTATAAAATTAAAAATATGAAATCGTGATTTATGAAATAATAAAGTATTTATGATCTAAAGGGTATAAAATTTACAAAAAAAAGCTTAATATTTATTTTTTACCTTATTAAACATTCTTTCAATGAAGTTGTTAAGTTTTTTTTTTTTGCTAATTCTTCTAAAACAGAATAATTCTTGTTTGCTACATGTGAGTCTGTAACATTTGTTCAAATTCGAAATTGTCAATTGAAATTTCGGTATCGAAAATTTTCTTTCAGTAGCAGTATTTCTGGATTAGACCATACTAAGATTTCCATTATGATATAAAAACTTCTTTTATATCTATTTATACCGCTTCTCCATTTTTTACAAAATCTGGAATGGAAAATTTCCTTCGTTTAAGATATCCAAAAACCTTTAAAATTAGCGGCTATCATCATCAAATTTAGCTATCCGTCACTATACATATTTGGCTATGCATCATGAGCTTGGCGACTAACGACAAGTTGTTTCATTAAATTTTACCTTCCTTCTATTGTGCACCGAGACAGTTAAGCCTGAATTATATTAGTTATTTATTATATTTATGTCTATTTCTGGCATATGCTTAAGGCTTATCAGAATTCTGAATAAATAAATTCCACCATATATTTAAGCCTTATTGAGGGCCGACGCTAGATATCTTACCGCCTCATGCAGTCTCTGTGGGTCCTAAATTCTGCGATTGAATGCACCCATACGAGTGCTGGTTCTGAGTTTATGTGAATTAACAAATCAATTATTCTTAATTCAAATATCTCTAAATGTAATCATTGGGTCTATGAGCATCATTAACAAAAGCTATTTTTAGCATATGCAAAGAAATTTTTGAAAAATTTTCCTCGTCAGCATTTTTTAGCACATTTAACTTAAATCTGTCATCTGTAAAGCATAATGTCAACATAAAAGGTTACCACACTCCTTTATTAATCAATTACTAGCATAAAAAATTGTTTAGGCATCGCTACATGAGTCATCACTCAATTTGTCATGTTTTGATAAACATGCGGTGATGAAAGGTTAGGTTAGGCTATTTAATTATGGCAAAGCCTCGAGGG